AAAATCTAAATTCCGAAGAAACGTGGGTTCATAAAAACTGAACATTTTATAAACTGTGAATTTAACCTGGGCGAAAACTTGGGCTATTGCGTCGCCACATTTTTTTATCAAAACATCTAAATACTCGACATCGATTAAAAACAGAAAGTGGTAATAGAACATGGACAAATTTCCCAAAATGACGTTGTTTGTCCGTTGAACTATTTCGTGAAAAAACGGCGTTCTTTTGTTGGCCAGTTTTAACAATATCTCGAAATGGATATCTACACAAGTGTACTGATCGAAAGTGTAGTAAAAGAACGCTTCTTCTATAGAAAACGAACTAAATTTTACCGCAAATTCAAAAGGACTGAAACCGAAAATGGTACCTATTGTCGGGTCAGCGCCGTAATAGAGCAAAGCTGCCACTAACTCTGCTTTGATTTCATCTATGGAACTGGAATCTAGACAACAGCACAGCGGTGACAATTGTTTGCTGGTTAACGCGTTTACGTCGTAACCCAGCTCCATTAGAAGTTTTGACACTTTGACTAAAGATTTATTCAGAGAGTGGTGTAGAAGTGTGACGCCATCTTCAAGCGGAACGGTGTTAACAGATGCCCCTCTTTTAATCAGTTCGTAAGAAATGTGATCACAGAATTCGCCATTTCCGCGTAACGCTAGAGCCAACGCTGTCAGGTGGTCGTTGTTCTCATGATCCAAGGGAAAGTCGGGTAGTGACAGTAAGTAGTCACAAACTTCTTTCCTAAAATTAATTAAAGCACGATTTGTCGTTATTTAATAGAGAGAGTAATCAGAAATATACCCACTTTTGGTGGATAATGCCAATTTGTAGCAGAGAATTACCGTCTTCTGAATTGTCGATTTTGTACAAATCTGTGCAATTTGAGAAAGATTTAAGGAAGTCGACTTCATTTTGAACGACGGCGGCAATCAAATCAGCACTTTTATTCGCCTAAAAAATATATAACCACGTAATAAATAATCACAAAAGTCGTGGTAAAAGTGAACAAAATGTCAACATAGCAACATATAGTCTTTGTCATTTCTATTGAAACACCACTTGTTAATTGTAAACTTGGCAACGTTCATATTCACACAATTTTCTAATTAAAAGCCGTTGTCAATCAACCGAAAGCTCTTACCAATTGCTAAATTTTAAGGAAAATCAACAGGTGGTGTTTCAATAGAAATGGCAAAGACAATAAACGTACAGAGTAACAAATTTTGTGGGACTACAGAATTGAGTTTTATTTTTTTTATGAAAAGTAGTAGCATCATAAGAATGCTGACGTCACGGCATAGAAATATGGTATTTTATAAAATTTAAGTAGGATTTCACTTACCTTATTTGTTGGAGAGGACATTCCTCAAATACGAGTACATAAACGTTCAACAATCATCAAGTAGTTTCGGGGTGTTTTTTTAAATAAAATCAATAAAAGACCAAAGACAATAACATTTCACCGCGTACGAAAGGTGTAAAAGGTGTAACAATCCACAATACTGACTTGCGCCACTACATGCAGCTGTAAAACAAACTGTACAAATTTGTGTAACGTTAATTTAACGTGATGTCTGTACGACACCATAAAACTAGAACTTTTTGTCAGTTAGTTTTTTTAACTTCGTATGAGAAATGAATTCCAATAAAAGTTTTGGTTTATCAACACACATTCTACAGGTATGCAACCAATTAAATCAATTAAATGAAACCCTGAAATAGAGCAATTCAGTGTCCACATGTAAAAACTAACCGTTTACAAGAAATTCAACTCCATAGTTTTTAGCAACGCTGTATATAATTTAAATTTGTATGCATATAATAATCGCTAAAGTAATGGAAAAAATAAACATCACAAGGATAAAAATTACAAACTTTGTTTTTGACCACAGAAAAATAACTATTCTTGACGGTGCGACTTGAAAACAGCTGTTTTTTGAACTCATCTGTCAATACACTAAATTCTGTTGCTAAATTCCCTCTCCTCTTTTATAACTTCAAGTTTTTTTGCCAACTTTATGCAACATGATGTCAATGTTAGATTTGCGGTAGTGTATAAAACCAGTGATTCCACTGATCATCTAAGGGTTAGTATTTTTGGTGTGATCGACAAGTAGTGTAATATTTATCATGGAGATAACAGAGCAGTCTATGATGCCATCCGACATAATTGATAATTCCTACACGCAACTATACAAGTGCTTCAGAGACAAACTGTAACAGCTACTTTTTACTCCAGAGACAGTGTTCCATAGAACTGCTTAAATCCGAAATACAGACATATGCGAATAGAGATCAACAATTAATATTAAATAATTTCTCTAAATTTTCGCTGTTTGCCGTCCACTTTAAAAATTCACTTTGTTATCAATAGCCAAGTTTTTCTGATCCAGCTCTGAAAAGAAACGGGAAAGATAAGAGGGTCGCAGTCAGTATAATTTTACCAGTCATTCGAGTGACACCTTTTTAAGTTTTGCAAGAATAATAATTCAAAATTCCAAGTGTTAGGGGAATTTTCGAATACAGCCCATTTCCAGAGCGCGGTGCTGGATGTATAATTTTGCAAGCTAGGTGCATTCCTTTTCTTTGGTTGAAATAGAAAGAAACGCACGCGGTGAAATGCCGGATTTGAAATAAAAGGTGTCTTCTCGAATATCAAGCAGCCTACACGCCATCAAAGGTAAAAATACATATTTATTTTTCCCAGGGAATCGCTAGAATGATTTCTATATAATAGTTTCGGTCTTATATTAATATTAAATGTGCTTGCAACATCTGCGATATTTAAAAGTTACGTGAAACACCCATTCAACAAACTAATTAATATTCAATTCTTGAAATAACAGGCTTTTTTGGAGTACGTGTTTCGCGACCGAAGCAGGGTTGCCATCCAGAATTCCATGCTGTTGAGTCCCGGTAATTCCCTGTAAGACAAGGATTTAGGGAGTACGTAGTTAGAGGAAAAGGGAATACCTTCCACTTACCCAAGTCAACGTCCAGAAATCGCCCCGCCACTACACGAGGTCCCTAAAGGAGGAACAGCCCGAAGAAGGAGAAAATCACCAAGTCGTAATGTTGTCTCAATCTATAATTTTTCTTTAGTTTTTTTTTGAAGTTGTGATTTTCCGAGATAATCTAGTATTAACCAGTTTGAAACGTTTAACACTTTAACTTAGAAGATTGAGTTTATTATAATTATTTTATCGGGTATTCGTATTCTGTCGAATTATTACCGTAATTATATTATATCTTAAGCTAGTCTATGTTGTCTTATTTGGTATAAGTCCTTTGTGTTGGCCTAGAGATTTTGCTTTCGAATTTAGGTGGGAACTATGTAAAGGGTGACCAAACGTGTAAGGTTGTGATAAATTCGTGGCGTCCAGGTATATTTTTTTGAGCAGATCGTTGTGAACCCATACCTTTCTGACTGGGTTAGTTGGCCATAACCTTACACGAGCCCTTTATAGAAAGAATTACGTCACAAATCCTTTGGTGGTATATCAAAAGAGCAGATAAAGATTATACTATGCAGGGTAATGGTAAAGCGCGCAATTTAATGTTCCCCAACACAAACTATTTTATTGTCCCTCTTGTAAGAGTACTCGTAATTTACTTCAAAAATCTCCTATTGTTGCTATGTGCACAGTGTACAACAAAATATCCAAGGACTATGATCTTTGCTGCTTGTGTTACTGCTGAATATGGTGTTTAGTGTATTTCTAGTATTATATCTTTATTAATAATCTACAAACTAAAATTTTGTCTTTTCTTCTGACAAGTCCAATTTAATAACTTTTTCACTTTCTTTTCTTTTCTTTCCGTATAAGTGGGTTATCCCGTTGGGAAAATTGCATTTAATAACAATAATAATAATAATAACGAAACCAACTTTTAGTGCAACCCAAAATACATATCTCGAGATATATATTTTGAGAAACATTGAGAACCTTATCTTTTGCGCCAAGTTAATTCAAATGAAGCAATATGGTAAAATTTTCTTTGTAATCCACATGGTGCCTCTTCATCATAGTATTTTATAATCTCCATGATTTCTTTTTTACATAAAGTTGCAGAAGTTGGCTTTCTTTTTCGGGTTGCTCTTGTAATAATTTGCGCTTTGTATTTCTAGCATTTCGCGAGGATTTAAATTCCACATTTTTAAAGGGCTCTATCATTGTTAAATTCGTTATAATATAAATCTTGAATGAGTTTAGCGATTTTGTTCCAAAATCCAAAAATCATGCATTTCTCTCCCGCGATGTTTAATCTACCATTTTCCGATATAACCTAATTCAAGAGAATTAAATACATTGTTAAAACATAAACAGAGTAAGATGACTCTGAAACTTTCTATTTCTAATTCGAATCAAAATTGTTACAGGACTGTTCAAGGCGATCTGCCTGAAAACCCTGTGATAAGAACTTCCTTAAGCGGGTGTAGAGTAATAGGTCGAATGTGCGTGGGAAACAATCATGGTCTTCTTGTACCTGAAGCGATTTACAACACAGGATTAGACCCACATTAGACACAAAATACTGGAGTCCATCCAAATTAAAAAAATAGAAGAAAGGTTATCAGTAGAGAGCGGAAAATATGCAGCAAAATTTTGAGAAATATGATCATATGATATGCACCAAATTTATGCAAATATGCAGTAACTTTCTTAATATATGCAGAGATATGCAGTTGCATATGCTCCAAAAATTAAAAAAAAACTTAATAAGCGAAGTAAATTTATTTCAATTCAAAAACAGGTTTCCCGAGCCTACGTTTTATTACAAAAAATACATAAATCGCATTGCAAAGTGTTTAATTACATCTCACTAACACATAAATCACGTTTTTAAAGATAATATATACTAAAAAATAAATATAAACAGATCAAATTAAAAAATAGTAGTAATCCACTATTTAATTACTATTTTGGTAACAATTTATTTTGAGACATTTTTCGAAATATTCTAACAAAAAGTTTTTCCGGTGATTCTAAAGTAAATGTATTTGTAAATAGAAAAACTGCATACTACGTCCACAGATGTAAAAATACTTACCGGTTTAGGGCAGGCGCGATAAAACACACTTCGTTCTTGAAGAAGTTCAGGAAAAGGTTTAATCCTTAAATTAATTTCAGTTATCTTCGACATATTGATACACCTGTATCCCTTTAAATGCTTTCAATACAAACTCACGATGAAAAATCATAGTATAAGGTCCCTTTGACCACCACTAAACGTACGATTAATACACTTAACTAACGAACAAAATATTGGGAATTAAGGATATTTCCAAAAGTAATTAGGGAGCGAATTTACCTGGAAGCATGGCTTAACACCCAGTGGTGTCTCCAAACTACCATAAAACCCAAACCTTTTCTAGTTATTTGAAGCTCAGGACAATATTTGCAATATGATTCATAAAATTTCGTTTTTCTATATAAATGCCGATAGAATGACAATAATTTTTTTTTTCAAATTAGCACAAAAATCGATAAAAATGCAAAATATGCACCCGTTCCGTGAAATATGCAGCAGAAGGCAAATATATGCAAATATGCAATTTTTTTATAGCTGTATTCATTTTTAATTAGTATGATTCGTTCACATATTAAATATCTAGGCTTATATGCAAAAAATAACGGATATGCAAATTTCATAAAATCCGCTCTCTAGTTATCAGCATTAGGAAACGTGGTTGTATGTAATGATCAGGTTGCCCTGGTGCATCCAGAATTGGACAAGGTACGTGATACTTTTTAAATAAAATATATTGTGTAACAGGAACGACTTTATTCATTTCTCACGGATAGGAAAATGTTATGAACGAGAACTCGTTTCCTACGTTTACGAGATTTCGTCACATTTTAGTTGGGTTTAATGTAATGGAATAACCAGTGGATTGTACACAGTTACAGTGGTTTACCATTCGATTACGAAGCGTGCAATGTGTATATTATGAATGGATTTTGTTTTACAGGAAAGCGAAGAAATTATCGAAGATACGTTACAAGTTGAAGTTTTTCGTCATGTGATAGCTAATAATCCTCTCGTTGGTTCATACTGTGTTTTGAATAATAATGGAGGGTTAGTGCACGTCGATATCAGTCAAACTGATTTGGAAGATTTATCGTCACTACCAGGGTTACCTCTAATCGTAAGCGGAAGACATTTTTCTGAATAAATAATTACACTATACTTTTATTTGTAGCCTGGAACGGTCAATTATGGTAACAAAGGCGTAGCAGCAGGGATAGCGGCAAATGATACTATTGCATATGCAGGAATCAAAACAACATCAAGAGAATTTTTGGCTATCGAAAAGGCGTTCAGGTTACCAGGACGCTGTTAATGAAGAGACTACAATATATGTACATAGTTTCCTTGTGATGATTTTCGTATATTTATTTATTTAATTTTGTATTTCCTGTAATTGGATTTTCCTGTTGGAAATAAATTATTATTATTATTATTACAAAGCAACAAACTTTAATTTGATTGATAACAAAATCGTCACATCCGACAGACAGTCGAAAAGGGAAGACCTACGTTTCCATACACAGTCGTCCATCGTTTAAGGCCGGATTGACTTAACATGACTTCTTTAGTCCATTGCAATGTAACTGGGATGATATAATATTTGGCGTTTCCGAAATAAAACAAAAATAAATTGAAAACTGCTATATTTGTATCAAAATACTTTACAAGTTGGAAGACGTGGAATTTGAACAATTAAGTACACAAAATAGTTAAAATCATAGTTCTAATTACAAATATTTGAAAATAATGTGACGTCAGTCCGAATCATTGAAATATTACAATGTTAATACAGCTCCGTTTCATAGGTAATTATTTTCTTATGTACAGGACTTACAGGAAGTCCATTAATGAGTGCATAAAACTGTTTGGCGCTTCTGATATTAAACGTCTCGATGAAATAACTACGAAAAACGTTCCGAGCCAGTTCGACCAACAACGGAACCGTCGGTCGACTGAGCCACACATCTGCATTTACAATCCCTTCATGTTGACATAGTAAATGTAACTTCGAATGCACAAAATAAGGCAACAGTTCGCATAGATTCTGAGGAGGGTAGTACGGACTCGAATCCTGCAAATACTTTTCCAAAGTCATGTTAACATCATATAAAAAAACCAACAAAGAATTGTTACTATATTGCTTGCTGTCGGTTTTTTCTATATCCATATGTAATGCTATTTTCAGTAATTCTCCACACCCGTACCGGTCATAAAAAGCCTTCAAATGCAACTCGTTTAGCCTCAAACCGTACGACAACAAATAATACACATTTTCAACAATCATAGATTCGCCATGATTGACAGCCATTAAAAAATAACTATAAAATATGTCAGTAAACATGACGATGAAATTGATGGTGTCGTGACGCAAGTCACTTCCAAGAAGAAAATCTAAATTCCGAAGAAACGTGGGTTCATAAAAACTGGACATTTCGTAAATTGTGAATTTAACCTGGGCGAAAACTTGGGCTATTGCGTAGCCACATTTTTGTATCAAAACATCTAAATACTCGACATCGATTAAAAATAGAGGGTAGTATTGGGTCATGGGCGAGTTTCCCAAAATGACGTTGTTTGTCCGTTGAACTGTTTCGTGAAAAAACGGCGATCTTTTGTTAGCCAGTGTTAACAGTACCTCGAAATCGATATCTACGCAAGTGTACTGATCGAAAGTGTAGTAAAACAACGCTTCTTCTACAGGAAACGAACTAAATTTTACCGCAAATTCAAAAGTACTGTAACCGTAAATGGTACCTATTGTCGGGTCAGCGCCGTAATAGAACAAAGCTGCCACTAACTCTGCTTCGATTTCATCTATGTAATTGGCATCTAGACAACACCACAGCGGTGACATTTGGCTGCTGGTTAACGCGTTTACGTCGTAACCCAGCTCCATTAGAAGTTTTGACACTTTGACTAAAGATTTCTCCAAAGCGTGGTGCAGAAGTGTGAAGCCATCTTTAAACGAAACGGTGTTAACAGATGGCACAGACGCTCCTCTTTTAATCAGTTCGTAGGAAATGTGGTCACAGAATTCGCCCTTTCCGCGTAACGCTAGAGCCAACGCTGTCAGGTGGTCGTTGTTCTCATGATCCAATGGAAAGTCGGGTAGTGACAGTAAATAGTCACAAACTTCTTTCCTAAAATTAATTAAAGCATGATTTATCGTTATTGAATAGAGAAAGAGAGAGAAATATACCCACTTTTGGTGGATAATGCCAATTTGTAAGAGAGAATTACCGTCTTCTAGATTGTCGATTTTGTACCAATCTGTGCAATTTGAGAAATATTTAAGGGTATCGACTTCATTTTGAACGACGGCGGCGATCAAAACAGCACTTTTATGTACCTAAAAAATATATAATCACGTAATAAATAATTACAAAAGTCGTGGTAAAGGTGAACAAAATGTCAACATGGTAACACAAACGTACAACAGAGTAACAAATGCTGACGTCACGGCATAGAAATATTGTATTTTATAAAATTTAAGTAGGATTTACTTACCTTATTTGTTGGATAGGACATTTCCTAAAATACGAGTACATAAACGTTCAACAATCATCAGGTAGTTTCGGAATGACCTTTTTAATAAAATCGACAAAAGACGAAAGACAGTAGTGTTCAAGTTCCAAACACAGTGCAACAATAAGATTTCACCGCGTACAAATAATGGGTGTAACTAACAATCCACGACATTGAGTTGCGCCACTACGTGCAGCTGTAAAATAAATTGTACAAATTTGTATAATGTTAATTTATAATGTGATGTCTGTACGACACCATAAAACTTGTAGAACTTTTTGTCAGGTAGTTTTTCAACTTCATATGAGAAATGAATTCCAATAAAAGTGTTGGTTTTTCAACACACCTTCTGAATTTATGGAACCAATTAAACACATCAGCAACGAATGAAACGCTACACAATCTGAAATAGACGGAACAACTCCACATGTAAACAATTAACCGTTCATGAGAAATTCAACTCCATACTTTTTAGCAACGTTGTATATTATTTAAATTAGTATGCATATAATAATCGCTAAAGTAATGGTAAAAGTAAACATCACAAGGATAAAAATTCCAAACTTTGTTTTTGACCATAGAAAAATAACTCTTCTTGACGATGTGGCTTGAAAACAGCTCTTTTTTGTACTCATCTGTCAATACTCTAAATTCTCGCTGCTAAATTCCCTCTCCTCTTTCATAACTTCAAGTTTTTTTACCAACATTGTGCAACATGATGTCAATGTTAGATTTGTGGTAGTATATAAAACCAGTGAGTCCACTGATCATCTAAGGGTTAGTATTGTTAGTGTGATCGACAAGTAGTGTAAGATTGATCATGGAAACAACAGAGTAGTCTATGCCATCCGGCAAAATTCAAACACGCAACTACACAAGTGCTTCAGAGAAAAACCTTTGGTGGTACCTAAATCAAAAGAGCAAATAAAGATAATACTATGCAGGGTAATGGTAAATCGCGTTATGAGATGAGTGTGTATGGCCGCAAGCATTTCAAACAAGACGTTCATATAATGGATTCATGTATCACTCCGACCGCCGTGAAATGTGGACACAGGCTTTACGAATAACAATTGGAAATAACAACGACATAATCCAGGCCAGTTAATTCTTGGATGGATTAGTTAGCTTGGAAAAATAAACAAAATGATTAATCATACACTACTTTTTCCTGGCCCGAAGATTTTTGTGTCTCCTCTGTATGGTTATTCGACAATTTGACAGATTAAATTTTACTGTCGATGAAAAGTGATCAAAAGTCACCAGTTTTCACCTGACTGGATACAAACCATGGAGAAAAGAATATAATAAATGTTCATTCGTCCATGGTACAACTCACGTCACAAAAATTTTTGCCAATTTTGCATCAGATCCTCCGCTAAATTCCACCAAAAACCGCTAGAATTATATTTTTCAGCCCTTCAAAACCAGTACCTTCTGAACTAAAATCCAGGCCATTCCTGTCTGTCCAATCCACAACGTAAATTTTGGAAAACTGCTGAGCGTAAGCTGTTTTTTGGGCTTTAGGGGTAAAATGAGGCGACATTTAAGTCAAGTTTAAGAATTCTGATTCGTAGAAATTGATAGTTCTCTCTGTCAAAGTGGCTCCCAATCGAAAATTTAAAAACTTATAGATATTATACCGTTTTACAGTGATCAGTGTAAATTGTGCGTATCAGTATCAATACAGAGTGGCTATTATAATATAAATATAAAAAATATCGTTCTTCGTCCGGAGGTTGTCTCAGCAGGTAACTTATTGTTTGCTGATGATTTCAAGATCTGCAGAGTTATCAAATCCCTTGATGATTGCATTGCTCCCCAAAATGACCTTGATAATGTTTATCAATGGTGTCTGCTTAATCGTTTATTTTTGAATACCATCAAATGTTTATTGGTAACGTATACCCGGAAATTGTCCCCAATTTATTTTCAATATAGCATAAATAAAGAAACATTGCGACGAGAAATCTCTGCATTAGATCTAGGAATATTGTTTGATTCTGCTCTAACGTTTGTACCGCACCTTGGAAATATGAGTTCAAAAGCCTATAAAATTTTAGGATTCATTTACCGAAACAGCAAAGAGTTTAATAAAACACAAACCCTTAAAACCTTGTTTATTGCACTTGTCAGATCTAGGTTGGAGTATGGCTCAATCATTTAAAAGACTAATTTTGGGTGTGAGTTTCATTTTAAATTTGATTTACTTGTTCCTCACTTGTAAACATCAATTTACCAAGTCACTGTATTCAACATGAAAATGTCACTTAACTGACTATGGCCTGTAAAAAATGTTACTGGCTGCCAGTAAAATTTTTACAGCTCTGCTCGTGCTCATACCACCATGTATTTTAAACATTTTAAACTATTATAAGTTGAAATGACAGCCAAAATTAATTCAAGTAAATTTTCACTCACAATTGCTGCTTGTTCAGTAATATAGCTTGCGCCACACTCATTTCAATACATCGAAAACGATAAATCGAAAAATCTAAATGACAGAACTAGACAACACAGTAAATGCTTTGACAAGTGCCATGCTGACGTGCGATTCCAAGGCAATACGTCTAAAGCTCATACGATGTTTCTTCAAATATTATTATTATTATTATTATTATTAAAATGAAGCGCTCGGGCAGAGACCGAAGTCTGTTATGCCCGCGCAAGACGACAATTAATGCAATCACAAATTATTTTAAATATAATAAATTATGGATATAACTACAACTATCTACGGTTTCGAAAGGTGTAGTAGTTGACCTTATCGTCACCTTAGAACTGGTTTGCCGCATATCCAGATCGC